ACAGGTATTTTTCATCAAGTATCGGTATGTTGAACTGCTAGTGGTTGTTTCTCTTGCTGTCCAGAAACTTTAGTTGGATGTAATCACATCTGCCTATCCTTGCTATAGTTTCTTGTTCTATTGGAATTCTAGTCAGGAAGTCTTTACCTGTGCCAGTGACTTCAAGTGTTTCCTGTGTATTTTCTTTATTTGTGTTTTTATTTTTTTTTCCATATTGAAGATCAAAACTGGGGGCTTTATACTGAGCTTCAATTTTAAGAAATTTTAAGTATAGTCCATGTAAATTTTTTTTTTTTAAATTGTGAGATAGTATCTTACTAAGTTGTCCAGGTTGGGCTTGAACTTGTGATCCTTTTGTTTTGACCTTCTAGAGTGCTGAGATTCCCATCATGCCTACTTCATCTGTTTTCTCTTAGCAGTGTCAAGTTTTGTACTTAGGTCTTTGTTCTAGTTTGAATAGATCTTTTTCTACAAGGTGAAATATATGGATAGAATTTCAATCTTTTGCACATGGATATATAGCTTTCCTGGCACCACTGAGGCTGGATTTGTTTCTGTGTTCTTTATTTTGTTTTAGTGTTCTGTGTGTCTTTTTTCCTTTCTTTTCTTGTATTTTAGGGAAGAGTCTGCAGCATGTTCAGGGTCTCACTACTAGATCGGACTCATAGTGATCCGCCTGTTTACAGCCTCCCAAGAGCTGGGATTGCAGGCGTGCACCTCCACGCCCATCTCAATTGCTGACTCAGTGCGTACTGGGGGTGGGGCCGGCACAGCGGCCTGGGGATCAAACCCCTGGCCTCTGCACCTGCTTGCAGATGCTTTAATCTGCTGAGTTATGTGGCCCGCCCTTTTTTTTTTTTAAATGCCAGTGCCATACTTTTTTTGTTACTACTTTTGCAGCTTTTTTTTTTTTTTTTTTTTTTTTTTTTTTTTTTTTTTTTTTTTTTTTTTTTTTTTTTTTTTTTTTCTATAATTTGAGTTGTATGGTCTTGGCAAAGTTATTTCACAGCTTACTGTTTTTGCTTAGGATTGCTCTGGGTATTCTGGGTCTTTTTTGTTTCCATACGGATTTTAGGATTGTTTTTTCTAGTTCTGTAATATCATGGTATTTTCTTGTGGACTGTGTTGAATCTGTGTGTTGCTTTTGGTGGTATATTCATTTTGACTATTCTGCCAATCCTGTGTAGGAGGTCTTTCTATCTTCTAATGCCTTCTTCAGTTTCTTTCTTTAGTATTCTGAGATTTTTATTGTACATGTCTTATTACAATAAAAAGACTTGGTTAAATTGATCTGTTGGTATTGTATTTTTTTCAAAGCGATTCTGATTGGAATTGTTTTCCTGATTTCTTAACTGGCCCATTATTGGTGTATAGTAAAGTGTTGATCTTTCAGCGTTGGTCTTGTACCCTTCACCTCTGTTGAATGCTTTTATCAGCTCTAAAATTCTTTTGCTGGAGTCTTTATGGCCTTCTAAGTGTAGGCCCTTATTATTTGCAAACAACGATAATTCAACCTTTTTTTCCTCTCTGTCATTGCACTCCTTCTCTTGTGTAATTGCTCTAACTAAAAGCTGAAGAATTATATTGTTCTGAGAGTGAACATCCTTGTCATGTTCTGGATTTTAAAGGAAGTGCTTTTAGTCTTTCCCCTTTCATAATGATGTTTCCTGTGGGTGTCATATATGACCTTTACTATTTTGAAGAATGCTCTTTTAATATCTAGGTTTTTTTAGGGCTTTTATCATGTTGGGATGTTGAATTTTGTTAATCTTTCTGCATCAGTTGAGATAATCATGTTATTTTTAGCCTTGATTACATATGTTGATGTGTATGTGTTTATTAATTTGCATATGGTGAGCCGCCCTTGCATCCATGGCATGAAACCAGTTTGATAATGGTGTTTGCTCTTTCTAATGTGTTGTTGGCTTCTTTGCAAGAATCTTACTGAAGACTTTTGTATCTCTATTTATCAGGGATACTGATGTAGAGTTTTTCTTTTGTCCTATTTTGGTTTTGATGACACTGTCCCCTCTTTGTTTTTTGAATGTATTCTGAGTAATTCAGTTCAAATACAGGTCATAGTTTCTTACTGAAGGAATGAATTACTTTAGTGATTTGAATAGAAACGAGCCAAATGAGCCCTTATCACCATGAATATTTCCTAGTAAAATAGGATAACATAGAATAAACTCAGAGTTGATTTAGTAATTCATATTCATTCTCAGATTGAGATGACTTAAATTTAAAAAGAAATAGGCATCTTTATAAGGTCATAATTGCCTTAGGGGAATACTTTGAGTACTCAATTGGATTAAATCTTGGCTCTCAAGTGGGGTATGGTAATAGTGCTACATTGTGTGTATTTGTGCAGTATTGCTTATTGTCAATGTACAAATTTTGAGAAAACCTTTAGACCGTTGCATCTTATCTGTTATGTACTATTCATTTAGAATTAGGGTAAGACAGAGGGGGCTTTATTTGTATTTTCTTTTGTTTATTTATCCATTCAAGAAAGATTTATTGGGGGCATGGCCCTAGCTCAGGCCTTTAAGTGGCTGCTTCCACAAAGCTCTCAGCCTCAGGTTGCTGGAGTTCGAACCTCACAACTCTCCCGCTGGCCAAAAG